TACCGCCACATGCCCGTCGACGACGCCCGCGACGCCGCCTCCCTGCAGGTCGAGCACGCCTACATCAACACCCTGTCTCGTGGTGACCTCTCCTCCCTGCGCTGGATCGAGGGCCCCCTCACCTTCTACCGTCCCGAGAACCACCCCGGCGTCGAGATGTGCAGCGTCTACTACGCGCCCCTCAACTTCCGTGACATCATGTTGGCCTCTGGCAAGCTGCCCCCAGATGCGCTCCCCGGTGACCTCGCCGGCCAGGACTGTATCCTCGGTCTCGAGTTCTCCGGCCGCGACTCCAAGGGTCGCCGCGTCATGGGTATGGTCGCCGCCCGCTCCCTCGCCACCACCCTGCTCGCCGACCCCGGCTTCATGTGGGAGGTGCCCGACAACTGGACCCTGGAGCAGGCTGCCTCCGTCCCTGTGTGCTACGCTACGGTAAGCCACCACGAGCTCTCCATAACGCCCGTCGGGTAGGCAACCACACTCCCATCTCGCTCGGGCGCTGGGTGGGTTGCCTACCCGACCGATCGCAGGCGCTCTCCCACCGTGCTCGCCGATTCCCGTACAAAATTCCTAATCCAGTTTTCCTAATAGCATTTTTCCTATCTCCGCACTCCCTAATGCACTATATTCCTATACCGCTTTTACTAAATTTTGAGTAGGAACTTTTCCTAAATGTTTTTCCTACTCGGCCCCCTGCTTTTACACTATACCTAAGTTTTCATCAACTAAATCGTTTTAACACTAAGAAACAGATTTAAAACTGAGGTCAACTGATGTAAGGAATTAAGTATAGTAAACCTATGTTAACCCGATCTAAAGATCTGCACTCAATACCATAGGCGAAGTTCTGACTACAGTTCGTTTACAGATCTTTCCACCCAGCAATCTTAAGCAATTGTGAACACGCGGAGTGTATCACTAGAACTTGTAGCTTCCGTAGTACCTAAAATATTCTAAAATACTTCTATAATACCCACAATATATGGTACTGCGTACACGGCTTAGCCGAATCGGCCACCCCGCGTATTTAGGTTGGGAAAATTGGAATCGGAAAATTGGTAAATAGGAAAAAATAATTAGGAATGCGAAATTTAGGACGAATGAGTTTAGGACATTTTGTGGTTAGGAAAAGTGGAGTAGGAAAAATAGGTGGGAACGTGCTCGCCTCACCGTCTTACTAACACGTTCTGTTGCAGGCATACTACGCCCTTGTTGTCCGAGGCCGCATGCGCCGTGGAGAGTCCGCACTGATCCACGCCGGTTCCGGTGGTGTCGGCCAGGCCGCCATCGCCATCGCCCTGCACATGGGCTGCACCGTGTACACCACCGTCGGTAGCCAGGAGAAGCGCGACTTCCTCAAGAAGACCTTCCCCCAGCTCACCGACGCCAACATCGCCAACTCCCGTGACTCCACTTTCGAGCAGCACGTGCTCACCCAGACCAAGGGCCGTGGTGTCGACCTGGTGCTCAACTCGCTGGCCGAGGAGAAGCTCCAGGCCTCCGTCCGCTGTGTGGCCAAGCACGGTCGCTTCCTCGAGATCGGCAAGTACGATCTGTCCAACAACAACCCCCTGGGTATGGCTCTCTTCCTGAAGAACGTCACCTTCCACGGTATCCTGCTGG